CTTTTTTAGAGATCGTGACGGACACGGACCAATGTTTCAGTTCCATATGCGCCGTATCAATATGAGCGCAGGGACAAATATCACTGTTTATCACAATTTTCATGACGAAGTAATATATCATCAAAAGCACTGGTGGAGATGCACTGGACCTTGCCGGTAAGCTAACTCTAAGAGTTTCATTAAGCATGAATTTGATCTAAAGAACATAATTTCAATTTATTTGACGACATTACTGAATGCACATGTTTATCTGTTAAATCATATTCGAACTTGAAACATAGAGTAGTACTAGCACTCTTAGCATTAGTAGTAATAGATACTTTTATAGATTTAATATATTTGTGTAAATGAAACTAAAGGACTAAAACTTCTAATTTTATAAAGTTTTTTGCGCTAATGAAAACGATATGTTTTTCTAGGATGCGCTCTCCATTTTATGGTTGGGTGAAGCGATCAATGAACCGTGCTCCAGGCAAGAATGATTTTTGGTGGAAAGAACATCAAATGACCTGTGGAGGTATCGTTAAAGTGATTATATAAGAACAAGTTTTTCTCAGTTTAAGGATTTAACTAACGACAATTATTTGTAGGTAACTTTATCAAAGTCAAGGAACCGGAAGGTTATGATACGAAAAAGATATCGAATGGAAAATCTCAATCTCAGGCACGGCCAACACCTTTGGATCGATATTTCACTGGAAAAGGCCATGTTTTAGGTCATCTATCGTCATCTTCAGGAGCTATCTTAGGTTACTGTCCCAACGTAGACAGATCGAGGAACAGCATCGGTAATACTGGGATGGAACTTGAAATGCGGCATGCTGAAAATTATTACAATGGGGGTGACCTGAGAGTACAAAAAAAAGCAGCCAAAGAGAATAGGGCAGGTGTTACGACGTTAAAAGATAACGGTGAATTGTTAGTAAAAGAAAAGATTCCGGAAAGTAGCAAATCGGCCAGTGTTGGAAGTGTCGAATCAGATGACAATGATATAATCATTTGTGTGCCGTGCCCGGTATGTAATGTGCATGTTCCGGAAAATGCTATTAACTCTCATCTGGATTCATGCCTCACATAAAGCTTATGACTTCTTCGCCTCAAATTCCGTTATTTATACTCTTTCTCTGTTGGAAACTTTCTTTTAACGATGTAATGAACACTGACTGACATCGATTTGTGCAGGGTAGTCATTAGACCTTGCAGAGAAATCCAGGCTTATTCCATTGAACAGATCTCCTATCATTCTGGAAAGTGACTTCATCTATTAACTTGCCGCAAGTTGCTCACACCTTGATGCTTTTAAATTAAATTGTGTTGTTTCAAGATTTCTTTCCCATTCATCCTGTTAGTTACATCACAACATGTATGTATTATGCTTTTTCCAACATGCGGATAAATTTTTTTTAAGTCATCAGAATAAGCTGCAAGAAAGTAGGATGAAGAAATTGTGACTCTTCAAGAATTGTCATCCAAGGCGCCATCTATCCATGAAACCTAGGAAATCTGGTCAAGCTCTCTCTTAAATTGCGAAACCGAATTTTGCTTCATTTTTTCTTCCCTATGCCAGATGATTCTCAAAAGTGGCTACGAAAAAAAAAAAAACTATGTAGTTAAAAGAAGTTCACAAATTTCAAAACTTTTTCACGATACCATGCGAATGTAATATCATCGTAACCTGGATTTAAAAACAACCAATTTTTAGATTTCTGAAAATCGCACGTTTGGAACAAATGGATGAAATGAAATAAATGCAGTGATATATCCCTCCATATATATTTTCAGATAATTGAAACAGTAAATGAAATTTAAACTGATAAACTGCACTAACAAAAAACATTACAGAGATGAATGGAAGGGCATAACTGAACAAAACTCGAAGATTAATTACTGTAACAATATAAATCAAAACGGCGACATAGGAATTTTAATGACAGTTCATGGAAAAGGAAAGAATACGCATGTATAATAGATTTGTGTAGGAGATCTGTTTGGTACGATGCTACTCCAATTCGCCATTAACATCATTGTACAAAGAGAATTTTCTTTTGCAGGAAAAATAAAAATGATGAGTGAAAAAATACTTCATTCAGGACAGCTGTGTTTAACGAGCCAATAAACTGGTCGCCAAACAGATGAGATATCAGTATTAGACTTATAAGCAAATAGTAATAAAAAAGCTAGATACAATTCCACATAAATGTCTAAATAATTTTGAAAACTTTACTTGTCAAAAAAAACTTGATTTTATAAGCAGTTAAATTCAAAAAATATGACGAATAAACATTTAATAAACTCCACAAAGCTATTTATAAAGAAGGTGGGAAGAAAAAAAAATTAATAATGCATTATTTCGAGGAAAACTAAAATTTTTGGTGAATAAATCGAAAAATGTCCACGAACAAGTATGCCAACAGATGGGTACGAACAACATGTTACTTTTTCTTTGTTTATTTCATCGAATCGTCGTCAACGATTTCATGTGGATTCAGCATTCCAGGAACCTGAAATAAAACCAGTGATTGTTTATACAATCTTTTTCTCCATTTCAAAATTCAAAATTCACAGATAGGCTTTGTTACCTCTTTTTTCGCATTCTGAACGTTCTGAATCTCCTGTTCACGCTCTTCAATGAACAGATCAGATGTATCTTCACCAACTCTCTCCTGTAAAAGAAATAAATTGAAAAGTTTGGGACAGAATAACAGAACCGCAAGGACCAATCTTTTAGACAGAAGACGAATTCGTCCAAACTAACGCAAAATCACAAGAAGCTGTAGCAGATGTTCCATAATTTTCCGGAAGAACAACAGGACTTTAGTAATCTGTTCTCCAATTCAAATCTTTCGATTCCGTGTATATGAAAGCTCAAACACAGGCCAATTTAGATAGCCAAAAACAACTAATATACATGGTAAAATAAGTTCACCTTTATCTGAACCAAGAAATCACGCAAATGATTCTTCATTTTCACTGAATCGATATTGAATGAAAAAAAGCCTTTCACTGTGACACGGATTTGATCTCTAAAAAGCAAATTGAAAAATCATTAAATGTTCAAAAAAATAGAGTGATAAATGAGTAGAACTGCAGATTATCACTTTCTTGTTTTCTATTATCTATATTTTCAATCATAACTCTTTCGATTTAAGTTGTTACTGTATATATTTTCATCTTTAAAAATTTTATAGAAGTGAAGCAAAGAAATTAAAAAAAAAAAACTGCAACTTCCAACTTCAACGGCAGTACAACGAAGAAAATGTAAACTTACGTCGTTAGATTGTCGAACGCTTGAGCAAAAGTTTCACTGATGTGCATGTAAATATAATCGATGTTTGATTGAGGTGGATTCAGTTGTTCAGTGATGGACATTTCGGCTGCATAGAACAATGTACACAAAATATCAGCATAACACGATAAGCCTAGAAAAAAACTGCGAATTGGATTGCATTTCTTCTTGCTTGGTTATTAATGTTACTGTTTATTGTTATCTTTTTTCTGCTATTATTATTATTGTTACGCTAAATCTTTTAAGGGTCATAGCAGCAATGATAATCATAATAATATGATGATAATAACAATAGTAAAATAATGATATAATAAAACAATAATAAATTATACTAGTAATAACAATAATAACTAATAATAACAATTATTATTAATAGTTAATAATTAATGATAATGAAATATATGCCATGATAATAATGGCGATGAATGTAAGGACAATAATAATGACAATGTAAGAAAAATAAAATAATAATGATGCAGGATAGAAGATAAATATGTTTTAGTACCCAAAATAAAGCTGGCTTTCAGTAACCTAAATATTAAGATAAATACCCTGATTGAAGGGAACTTCAAACTATCCTCACTTACCTAGAATTTTGATTTGATTACTGTCCGTGACAACAGTTAGCACATGGACGAGTATATCCATGAAGAAATGCTTATAGAAAGCTTGTGCCCGCTCTTTATCTTTATGAATGCCGAATTGTGAAAGCATATCCCTTAGAATGTCCAAACCTATAATACAGGGATATTTTATTTGTTTGCTAAAAACAACAAGTATATTAACTTAGTGAGCATTGTGATTTATTTATAACTTGAGAGAAAATTTTCGATTTTTTAGGACATGTGAATCATCGAAAATAGTTGAAATTCATTTCCCAAAATAAAGGGTACCGATCTCTGCAACATTTCTCATAGTGTGCTTGAAAGCCCAAACAACAGCATCTACAATCAAACGAAAATGTTCCAGAGGGAGAGCCATAAGCACATCGAAGCATTCGTGATTTAAAGCATGGAGAAGACTGAAAAAGTTCAGGCGGTGTTCCGGATACTCCTCCATATCGCGGTTGATCATTTCCAGAGTACAAGTGAAGACAGCATCCAATATACGAATAACTTCTGGATTAATTGCTGACTGCAAGAAACAAATTCAAATTTACTGTATAATGCATTTTCATGTTAGGCAAAATCCAACTCCTAAGACGTCTGATTTTCACCTCTAGTTTCTGTGGTAGATTCATAGAATAAAAATGTTATAGAATTTAGGCAACCCAAAGATCAGAGACCAAAAAACTTAATCAATATACCTGTAGTTGCGAAACGATAATAGATAGTAATGAAAGGACTTTCGGTTCACGAGCCGCTGAACAATTACGTTGATAATCAAACAGAACTGCATCAAACAACGGAGGAACAAAATTTTCCAGTATAACCTGAAATTATTCAAACTTTTTTCATAATTTACACACACGTGTAGAAAAATTCTCATTCCAGAAAAACACAAATGATAATGAATCTAAAACTTATTCATTCGTTAGTTGCCAAGTCTTACTACTTCTTCGTAATATCTTTGTTCTGCTATTTCAGTAAAAAATCTTACATTTGGATCCTGCGTTTTACCAACCCATGTTGAAATGAGTGTTAGTATTTCACGTTTAACAGCTCTCATCTGCTTGAGTAGAGGTTGCTTGAGAATCTCTTCACCTGACTGTGCAACCAAACCACTGATATTTTCAGAAGTAACTTTGTAAACATTCAACATATCCAAGTAAATTTTTGAGAGCTGAAAATTTGGAATATTATAAGAAATAGTTTGTTTAAAACAACCCTCCAAAATTTCCAGCGAAAAATTGAAATTGGGCGAACCTGACAAATGAAAGGCTCCCCAATCGAACGACAAGCAGCAACATTTGTTTTCAAGATATTTACAATATTCTTGACAACTTCTTGTTCTTTCATTACATTAATATCCTGAAATTCATGACTTCTATCCATTTTCTCTTACGGCAATTTCCAAAGCAATAAACCACTTTAATTTGATCATTAGCAGAAATTGCCTAACATGAATCATTCAAAATGCATACTAAGCAAAAGCAGTAAAGACCTCTTTTACTGTCAACCACTTTATTGAACGGCAAATTATAAGAAATATATCAGAATTAAGCAAATATACAAAATAGATTTTCGAGCTGCATATTCTACTCTTTGTTTTCCAAGCACTATAAAAAGGATATTCCTATCAATTAAAGTACTGTAAATAATGTCTTTTATCCAATAAGCCTATGGAATTTCTCTAGCACCATCAATTTTTTATCCAATGCTTGATATCATTACCAAATATTAAAAAGGCAAAATCAAAATAAACTTTTAACCTGACTGGCGTGAGAAATAATTTCTTCCCAAATCGAATTTGGTAGTTGCATCAGGCGTTCAATGAGGCTCTCACGAATTGCCGGATCAGTTTGTGCCGATATGAGACAACCAACAGCTTCATAAAACACGTGAACTTGTTGCGGAGATAAATCACAAATGATTGAATTCAATCCGCTCAAAATTTCATCAATAAATGGACCTGTTTCACCTGCTTGGGTCTGAAATTGCAACATGAGACAGTCCACTAAATATATTTAAGACACAGCACACAAAGTAAAGAGTTAATGATGATCACTAAATTATTTGCACCTACCTCCAAAAGAATTTCCTCATGACGTATCACTAATTAGTTCAGGCCTTATCAAGCTACGCATACAATTCAAAAAAATGCGTTTTTTAAAAAATCCTAACATGGAAGAA